AATTTAATTTTGACACTGGTTAGCTTTTTGTAAAAACGAACTACAGTACACCGTGTTACTATGGTTTCTTTACAAAGTCTAAAATGCTTTGTTGCCTTTTAATGTCACTGTACACCGGCGCCCCTTGCTGTCGATGAGGCATACCTGTGCGTCTCCCCTGCCCTGTGCCAACCAGAAGGTGCGCTTCCCATCTACCAGCTCCATGCTGTGCCTCTCGGGCTTGAAGGTGCTATCAAAGTTCTTGAACCGGCTCCTGTCGTTGATGATGTGGGATGACGCGCCCGTGTCGACGAGTAGCCCTTTTCTCTGGATCAGTAGCTGTTGCCCTGACCAGTTGGCCTCTTCTACCTGTGCCCCGAATGTGAAATCTTCTCCCTGCGGCTCCCCGCACGCCATCTCGCCCGCGACTGGCTTTACGGGTGTCGTCGCCACGGCCGGTATCTTGGGCACACGCGCACCAAGAACCCTGTGCACGTTCTTTCTTTCTACACGTTTTATCTGTGTGACCTGTGATTTTGCAGAAACTACATCAAGCTTTCTTTGTGCAGTTATTTTTCCGGTGGCCCTTTTCTCCACATCGCCAACACTCTAGGTCCGTCACGTGTGCGTCTTTCTTCTTTGGCACCGCCTGGGCCTTCAGGACTCGCTCTCCTGCTTCCTCGGCGGTTGGGTCTGAATCTTCCGATGCCTCAAAGTTTCGTAACTTGGCTTTGAACTCTCCCAACTTCATATCCGCTGAACCATGTGTAACCATCAGCGTGAACGGCTTGTACTTTTCTGGTAGTCCCCTCATAACCATCGCCATCATCAGTCCCTCACTTGGTGCTTCACCTGCACCTCTGAGCGCCGTAATGATTTGCTCTGCTCTGATAATGTATTCAGTTACGGTCTCTGTGTCCGTTTTCTTCAGTGAGGTAAGTGTTATGTACAGGAAGAAAATCCGTGGCCTACCTTTACCGATGTAGTGTTCTCGTAACACTCTGAGACTCTCTCTGCCTTTGTCTTTAGTGTCTCTGAATATCAGTCCCAAGCTCGTATTGTCGAGTAATGGCACGAGCGCGCAATCCGCATTAAGCTTGTCCTCTTGGGCCTGTTCTTCCACCGTCAGAGGTGCAGCAGGCTCGTTCAGGATTGTCAGTTTCAGGCCGACACTGTGCATGCAGCACAACATCCTTTCTTCCCAGAGCTCATACTCCTCTGCTCTCCCGTCGAACGTGGGCCATTTGGTCTTGCTTCTGTTGGTCATGGCTTAACTCCCGTTTCGGCTTACATTTAGCTTTCTGGTTCTCTCGCCGCTAAACTAGCTATCACTTTCAGCTAACTTGCTACTTCTTGGCGTGCTAGTAGCTAGGCGTCTTGCTATCGCACATGTCCGCCATTTCCTGGGCCCATAACCTGTTAGCAGAATTACGTCCACAGTGCATAACCTTGCCTTCTTGTAGCGGAATAATAATTCTAATGATGAGTACAGTCACTTTTATCTTCAGCCCTTACTGGCATAGTTTATTAATGACACAAACAGATACACCGCTCTCCATGAGCCAAGTGCAGAGAGAGAGAAGAAATTCCCTTACTGCATATAGGGGGTGGCGCCAAATATACACCTAACAAACACTGCCACCTTTTGGTCATGTGTAGGTACAGTTACATGCAATCATACATTTATCAACAATATCAATTCAACGGCAAACGATCCGATGCATCGATGTGACCGGACAAATATCGATACATGCATTTTTTTTCTCGCCTGTTCCAGTATTGTTTTCATGACCCACTCCGACATATACATGGTCTACGCTAGGGCTGCACGATTAACCTTTATCGCATCGATATTGAGGTTTTAACTCCCGCAATAACCTAACCTCAGGAGTCTGAAGTTTTTTCCCTCGCCTCTGATATTTGAGTGACAAACCTATTAGCCAATCAAAATGGTCGAATCTCGCGTTCCTGGCTTGCTGGCCAATTAGAAATGGCAATGGAAACAAGGTTGTATGCAGTACACACAACGTGTACCTCGAATTGTGCCAATAGAAAAAGCTTGTAACTGCGCAGAAATGGCCGAAGGCACTTCTTCGGTGACAGGAGAGTGTAATATAACAGTTTCATGTTTAGTAAATGGCAGTGGACTACAGAATTATTTTGTTTTTCTTACTGTAAATCTAAATCTAATAAGAATTCATTTTCTATTTTTCAGTGTTTAAGATTGTTAAATTTAAAAACAAATGACCAAGTGGTTAAGTTAATTTCCATTATGTCTTCTTATTCTTTGGTATTTAGGTTCAGGTATTTAATAATCACGAAGCATCAAACAATCTCATTACCTCAATCACTATGTATGTAGTTTATTTAACCCTCTGTGTCGTAAAAGTAACAACATATTTTATTCATAATTTTAGGTTTTATGCACTTAAAAGTATCGAAAGCAAAAATCGAAAATCGCATCGCAATCGCAATATTTGTCAGAAAAACCGCAATTAGGTTTTTTCTCAAAATCGTGCAGCCCTAGTCTACGGCCAGTACGTCGATCGCGATCTACTGGTTGATTGCAAAGGTAGTGTGGGTAGAATGTATGGCATAAAAAATAGAGGATGGATGACGCGTTCACCCTCGCCAGCTGCTGCAAGCTACCGAGTGGCCTAGTCAGCCTCCAATTTATTTCTACTAAACTTAAGAAAGGGTATAAAAATGAATGGGGGAGCTGGACCAAGTAAGAAGCCAAAAACCTACCACTTCCATACGAAATGGGAGGAGGACTGTTCTTTTCCCACCATGTCATATTTGAAGTGCATTTGCCTCATCTGTCAGTCTACCATTGCTATTCCGAAGAAGGGAAATGTGGAGCATTTCATTGAAATATAAAGGATTGTGTGAAATGTCATCATTTCGACTACAATCCCCAGTATCGAACTGAGTCAAATCGCATCATATCATATCGTGGGGATTTCTGAGATATCAAAAAAAATCTAACCGTTGGCTTAAGGAATCGATATTGTATCGTATCGCGAGGAAAGGTGTGATTTACACCCCTATATATTACATCACCCAAAATAAAGTTGTAAATGACATTAAATTGCTAGTAAGGAATGGTTTCTCCATTTTAACTGATTGTTTTGTGCTTGTACAGCAGTTTTATCACGTTCTAATGTCAGTTTTAATAACTTAATTAATAATCTTAAAAGGTGGTGTTGGCACATTGTTATTTAATATCTCGTTTTACTATTCAAGCCTGATAAACCCCCCAAAAAAACACATGGCAATAAGCATATTTGACATTTAATTAAGATGACATCTAGCTATTTAATGTAAGCTTGTTTGTTTGGTCAGCTAACACATTTTTACTTAAGTTTAGTAGTTTGCAGTTTTACATATTTTGTTGTTATTCTTTGGTGACTCACATTCTTTTTCTCCCTTACAGAGTTTTGAAACTTGAAGGCCTGCAGAGTCCTGTATATGGCTGTGCAGAGATTGTGGATCGTCTCAGACCTCCAGATCAAAGCTTTTAAAGCACTTCAGGTTGGTACATGGACATTATGGCCGCAAACACAAATATCCATGTGCATATTCTAATTGTCCATGCACTTTTAAAACCTGGAATGCACTGCGGTCCCACTTATCCAGATCACATGGCAGTGAGCAGCTACCTCAAAATCAATATTCTACACTGTATTGAAACTACACTGATAAATTGTCATGTTTGTGCTGTTACTGACATTCCTTCAGTAAATGATTATTTTCTCATCATTTACTTGCGCAGTCATGAGACAGTTAGTTGTATGTTTGAGGTCTGCTCATTTAAAACAAACGTGTATGGTACATTCAAATCACATAAGAGCCGAAAGCATTGTCAGTTTTCAGTAAAAGAATTTTAAGGAAGGAATAGTGAAAACACAAGAGGTTAGAGAAACATCTAATGACCCCTCCTTCAAATGAAGAAACTGAAACATCTATGTTAGAAGATGATTCCTCTTCTACTGATACAGAAGAGGTTTCAGAGAACCTGCCAAAGTTGGTAGAGCTTAAATTTGCTTCCTTGCTGTTAAAGCTGGAAAATCACTACCATGTTCCAGGCTCAGCTGTAGATGAGTTGTGTGGGGACTTGCATTATTTACTGAGTGATGCTTCTCTCCCTTTGTCTCACAGAATCATTGTAGACACCATACACAGGCACAGAATTGACAATGATGCAGTAATAGTCAACGACCTGGTTACATCTTTAAGTGCAGCAAACCCTTTACTCTCTGCTATAAAGCATGGTGGTCCACTAAGCTTCTGCATTTAAGCGCAAACAATATTACAGGGAAATTTTTAAAATTGTAGACCCTGTAGAGTATGTTCTTGAAGCCAAGGGAAACAGAACTTTTCAGTATGTTCCAATACTGGAGTCTTTACAGAATCTCCTCTGACATACGGATTTGAGAAAATCTTGCGACCTCTTTTGCAAGATCTCCAAACTTTGGAACAGCAAGGTGCGTATGTCCAATAACTTGGAACATTCCTTAAAGGGACAGTACAATGTGTTGAGGTTGATAATCTTGCCGCACATTCCATGGCTGGATTCGTTGAGAACTTTTCAGGCGAGTACTGTTGTCGATTTTGTACAGCTTCTCGTGCAAATTCTCAGACCCCTGAAGTGAAGGGAGGTGAATTCAAACTTTGGACTGCAGAAGAGCACCAAGGACATGTGAAACTTGCTACAGAGAAAGAAGTAAATGTCATGGGTGTAAAAAAAATGTGTTTTCAGTGAAAACCGTAGCTACTTTAATGTTACAACAGGCTATCCTCCTGATTTGTCTCCCTCTCTTTTTTGTTTTGTTTTGTTTGGAAATTGTACCAGGTATCTGTGGAATTCAGCAGGATTACAACAATTCCTTTGGTGTCCAAATTCATGGGTCAGCTTGATAATTTCTCCTCCCAGCTCCTCAAAAATTTGAAAAAGAAAGGAGGAGCAGCCGCACAGAAGATCACAGACATCCTGTCAGTTTTGGATCAGGTATGTTCTCTAAATTCATCATCAATTCTCATAATTCATAATAGGCCAAACATATTTCATCCAAATATGATTATTTTGTTATTTTTAACTCATCCTTCATTCAATCTTTTTTATACTAAAATTATGGATTAAAAGTTAAAGGTGAATTTTCGTTCTTAGGCTCCAAATATCATGATTTTTTTTATTTTGAAGCATCAATGACTTTCTGCCTCTTACACTTTAACAGAGTTGTTTTTGCAACTACAATTAGAACAGCTCAGACGTTCAAGGTAATTGTGTATCCCATGCAGTGCTTCTGATTTGGGACCATTGGTTGATGGACACCCTTGACTTTCGTAAAATACAGCAGTGGGATAATTTGCGTAATGCTACTTAAATTTAAGATGTACAGCAAAAAGTACTAATTCTCATTTCATTTTGATTGGAGCATCACCATTGAAAAAAAGTGTGAATGCATCCTGAAAGCCTTAGTGGTCTACCTAAATGAAGATCCTTCAAACCTAGTGAAGGAGTACATGGTAAGCTATTTACATTTTTCTTTTTAAGAAAATTTTTGTATTTTTCTCTAAAACCAGTACCTGTTTTTACCTTTGATCTGTTGGTAATTGTTTTATTTTGTACTTATTATTTGTACTTGTCTTTTGTTATTTTTAGGACGCTGAACATGATGAAGCCCAAATTTTGATGAGCAACACCACTATCGGAATCTGTGCCATCAAACATGAAGGGGCAGATGTTGCAGACCCATACGAAGATGTTGGTGTCATCATCGAAGGCATCCAAGTTCTTGACAACTTGGACAATGTAGCTAATGCATGTTCCATGATGGTTGGTCTAATTTATGCATTAAACTTGGCTTACCCCCAGGATCTGAGATAATCTTTTGAAACAATTCAAAAGTATTTTATGCAACTCGATGCCAACAAGCTGTCAAACAAAGTCCAGGTCTTAAAAAATAAACTCCTTTCATAGGCACTGTAACTTGAAAGAAGGGCTAAGAGGCAGGACCTATGTTTTGTCCATGATGTTGCACTGGCTGTTGCAGTACTTTTTTTTTCAGTGCTAACCAGGTGATGTCTTTAATAATCTTTACTTCATCTTTACTTTTGCTTTCAGATGTTAATCTTCATTTGAATAACTGCAATGTTGTTTACTGCTTTTTTTTTCAAGTTTATTAAAGAAGACTATTTTTTCCACCAAGTATACTTTTGTAAATCGTTTAATTTAAAGACAGTATTCTTTTATTTTACTTTTTACTGGTAATTATTATTTAATTTATTATTTTTTTTAACTTCTTGTAATAAGTAAAGAAGTTTTATTTTGAAAAGTGAAGGCATTACTCAGATTTTGTAAACATGCTCTTGTTTGAAAAAAATTAAAACATTGTAAAAATGTTACTTTGCTTTCAAATGTTAATCTTCCTTTGAATAACAAGTGTTGTTAGCTGATTTTTTTTAGTTTCAAGAAGGTGTTCTTTATACTGTTAAAGAAGGCTGTTCATTTTTTCCAAGTATAAAAAGCATTTTTGTCAATCCTTTCATTTAAAGGCTGCATGCTTTTATTTTACTTTATACTTGTATTATTCTTTTAATAGTATTAACTTACTACAATAAGTAAAGACAGCATGTAGATTTTGAAAAACATTTTATTGTTGGAAAAACAATAGAAAGTGCTAATTGTAAAACATTGTAAAAAATCTTATTTAATAAACACAATGAAACTGAAACTTTTTTCTTCTCTCTTTTACAACATAACATTATAAATTTTAGAGTAATTGAACTTAATTAACTAAATAGATTAATACAAAATCATGAATGTTACGTTGATTGAACTAAACAAAATTACATTAACTTTATGTAATTAACTTAGGTTCACTGAAATAAATATTCTTTCTTAAAGGCAACTTAACTCAGTTACGTGGAACCTGTTGACATAAAAAAGTTAAGTAATGCCAACATATAATTTTTTTGAGTGCATACTTCGGTCATCAAGTTCAAGATTGAAGATTCTTTAATTGTCACATACATAGTTATACAAAGTACAACATGTAGTGAAATGCATCCTGAACCGCTCTTTTGTAGACTGTGCAAGTTGCTGAAGTTAAAAAGTGCAAAAAGCTAAAAATGCAAGCAGAGGAGTATGTTCAAAATGAACGGTAACCAGACATAAAAAGTGACCAGTGTAGCAGTGCGGATATGGTGAGGGGCACAAGAGCACAATGTACATCAGGGTGTGAGGTGCAATGGCACGTCCAGGTTCAGAGACCTTATGGCCTGGGGGTAGAAACTCCTCCTGAGCCTCTCAGTCCTGGCCATGATGCTCCTGAGTCTCCTTCCTGAGTTCAGAAGCTGAAGCAGGCTGTTGTGGTGGGATGCGTCCTTTATGATTCTGAAGGCCCTGCTCCTACATCTCTTGATGTAAATGTCCTGAAGAGATGGAAAGGCCGACCTGCAGCAGTGTTCTGCTGCACGGGTCACCCTCTGGAGGGCTTTGCAATCCTGAACACAGCTATTCCCGAACCAGGAAGTAATGTTCTGAGTCAGGATGCTCTCCACAGCGCCTGAGTAGAAAGTCCATAGGATCGTTGGAGAGACCCTGAACTTCCTCAGCCATCGCAGGTGGTACAGGCGCTGCTTAGCCCTTTTGGACTGGACTTGGATGTGAGCAGTCCACATCACATCCTCAGAAATGTGGACACCCAGATATTTAAAACTCCTCACTCTCTCCACAGGAGAACCGTTGATGGTGAGGGGAGTGTAGGCCCTCTGCTGCCTCCTACTGAAGTCCACCAGCAGCTCCTTTGTCTTGTCGACATTCAGCTGGAGACTGTTGTTGTGACACCACGCTGTTAGGTTCTCTACCTTAGCCATGTAGGCCGACTCATCGTTGTTGGTGATGAGCCAACACACAGAACTGTGTCGTCCGCAAATTTACCAATGGTGTTGGAGCTATGAGTGACCTTACAGTCATGAGTGTAGAGTGCGTACATTAATGGACTGAGTACGCACCCTTGTGGAAATCCTGTGTTGATAGTGATGCTGTTGGAGACACAGCTCCCAGCACTCACCACCTGTGACCTACCAGTGTGAAAGTCCAGTGCCCACGCACACAATCGGTTATTTAATCCTAAACTCCTCAGTTTAGTGAACAGTCTGCTGGGCTGTTAAATGCTGAACTATAATCAATAAACAGCAATCGCACATAGTTGCCCAGTTTCTTGTCCACATGGCTGAGGGTTGTGTGCAGGATGTTGGAGATGGTGTCCTCCATTGATCTGTTGGAGTGGTTTGTAGAGGCTCTGACTTCAATCTTAACGGATGCGTCCGAAATCGCAAACACTGTACATTACACACTGCATGTACAGAATTTTGTTAGAACCTTACTACTCGACTATTAATGTACTGCATACTGTATGTATTATGAAAACAGTATGCATGCACTCGGATATATTTCAGTTGCTACCGTGCATATTGCCTGACCCAGATGTTTTCGGATGACATAGCTTTACCCCCGAGAAAGTTAAAAACTGTTAAAAATTATCAATGGAAAAACATATATTTGAAAAACTGGCAGGGATTGGGCCTTTCTGGAATGCATTCATCAATTCCAATCAAATTCAGGAAGTGGAACTGGAGTTGGAATTTAAATCTCTCTGAAATTCGAAATCAATTCCAATTCTGTTCCCCATAGTTTGTTTTCCAATCCCAATTCCAGTTCCATTTCCT